TATAGTACAGTGCCAATGAATCAAAATGAAAAATACGAAACCTACTTGTGCAATCTCTTTTCCATGTTGTGGATGTCGAGGTACGATAATAGTCACTAGATTTGGGTGTGCTTGTAAGAGCATGTGGTGAACTTCAAGTATAACTGCAGAATGAGAAACTTAACAAATATTAATTTCATTATAGAGCATAAAACTTTATTTCTACGTGCTCTTACAATAAATAATGTGTGATTTTGTCACAGAGAAGCAAGTCTGAAAGACAAAAAAAAAACTAATGCTCCAAGATATAGTTATCAAAACTATTCAACTTGGCGCTCATCATTGAGATGGGCCCATCAGCTCGATAACAACAAGTATTAACTCAAAAGGGATACCAAAATATAAACAAAAGGCCATAAATATGACACACATCAAAGGGTAAAGGCATTTCTCAACAAATGCAAAAAGGGAAAAAATTGATACCTTTGTAGTCTAGCAGATTCCAACAAAAAATTCATAAAGGCCACATCATAATATTTGATCGTATACATTAGAAATTTAGAAAAATTTACACGTGCATAACTTGATTTCTGGGAGAACTAAAATAAAAGGAGGAAAATAACCTTCTTCTTCTCCTCTATGTATGGACGAGGCCATCCAAACTTGTCTTTCAGCCAATTGTGCTCTTAGATTTTCAACTTTTTTAATCTCTTCCTCAGACATTCCACCATCTTCAACCGCTGAATAGAAAAGTTTGAAATCCAACCTAAGTCAACAGTTTAAATATTGAAAGAAGACCAATGAATTCAGTGAAAGTAATAATGAAAATCGCGTGGCTTGATGAACCATGCACTCGTTTCACGACTACAGACTTTTTGTTCCACCATATCAGAAGAAAAGGTTCATCGTGTATACCGAATTTCAGATCACCAGCAAAGCTGATGATCAGGGGTGGAGCCTGAAGTAGCTGGAACTGAATAGCCTGTAAGTTGCTCTATAACACAACAAAATAAATGACACAGAAAAAAGATGAGTTATATAAAGCAAAGTTTGAATGTCCATACCAACGGGAGAATCAATGAGAACTTTGACAGCATAAAAGAAATCAGGGGAAGGAGCACCGGTGCTGACCAACGCTTAAAGGACCTAGGAGACATCCGAGCATTTAACAATACCATAGTAATCTGAGGAGAGTAATGGCAAGTGTAAAAATCTAAAGCATCAACAATATAATTTGACTTTATGAAGAAAAAGCATTTATAAGGGAAATAATATTAACATAGCACGATAGCATTATCAAGATAATCATATGTCTCAATGATATGACAACTTACACCATGCTGTGAAGCACCCAAGATAAGATTAGGCCAAAGTTCACTCTCCATTATCATGATAACTTTTGGCTTCCAATATGAGATGAAATTGTCCATGGCAGCAGCTGTATCAAGTGGAGCAAACTGATTCGTACAAAAATATGTGATTGCCATAACAAGTATATCTAGATGGTTCAAGACATGTCAAAACCACAAAATTAAAAAATAAAATGATTAATCTTCAGAAAAGGTCAGTATATCATCCTTGAGAGAGAGAATAAAAGGATAAAATATTTTGATAGAATATACTTTCAAGTAATTTATGTACTGAGTTGTAAATAAGAAGGAAAACAAGAAGTCTTGACACATAGCAAGAGATAGAATAGAAGAAATAGTCTCACTTATCTGGATCAAATTCAGGTATCTTAATTCGAGAATATTATAATAGTAACCTTAGTCGAGCTTTTATAAATCTAACATCTTGTCGATAGGGAAATGCAGGATAAACTTGGGGTTTTCACAAAAAATAGTCTCACTACATTCCTCCTGACCCTAAATCCCGTAGTTCTTTACAAAAAAACGGTCAACAGACGGCAACTCTATGTGCCAAGAAAAAAAATGTCCCCGGTCATACATAAAACAAATATGTAAAACATTTCACAGAAAACATGTGGTATCATGGAATTGGAAGAAACGTTTTGAAAAAAGACAAAGGGACACTGCATCAACATAAAGAAACCAACATTGCATGCAACGTTCCGAAGCCCTAATATAAATGCAATTACGGTCCTATACAACTTTCGGTTAAGGAAAGAGAGGGGCATAAAAAATGAGTACCTGATATATGACACCAGTAGGGAGACAATTCTTCACTACCTGACTGCATAAGAAGGAAATATAATTAAGTCCTCGTACAGACTTTTCGAGTTCCCTTCTATTCATAGTTACATAATTCTATCCATAAACAATGCTGGAGCTCCTAATTTCATCTAAGCCTACAATTCGACGATAAAAATCAGGCAGGACTTCACCGGGAGCAGTTTCTAGGGAGTAACAAACCGAGAAATAAAAAAGAGGAGACTCATTCTTACAAGGCAGAATAAGTGGTTGTTGTCATCAAAATGATCAGATCAGGCCTCCTCTGAATACATTGCTTGATTATAGGAACAGTAGCCAAACCTTCTCCTGCTCGGGAATCAGAAAGCACGTAAGACACTAACTACAGACTACAAAGTATACAATCAATCTATACTCTATTCGACTACCGATAAAAACACCACCGATTTCCGGAACAAATTTTGGTTTAATTCGAAGTTTCTCCGTCAGGAGTTGGAAATGCAGATGTATAATCCGAAATGGTACAGTGATAGAGAAGGAATGGGAACCTAAAGAAACGGCATGGAACCAGAGGAGTGGACCGGGAGGGCGCGGATGTGAAGGGCTACCGAGACGCTCGGGCCATCGGAGGGGGTGTTCGAGGCCACGAAGCACGCGCCATCGAAGGTGAAGGTACAGCAATGGTGAGAGGCCGTAGCTGAATGCCCTGTATACTTTATAGAGCAGCTTCCCCTTCGTTGCCGTTGCCGCCATTCTTCTTTTCATAAGAGCTGGCCGTGCGATCGTGATCCGGAATCGTATGAGCGGTTCAAACATGGGCCCTTTACCGCACCTATTTTATACAAGTTCTCATAGCTAAAAAAACCTTTAAGATAATACCAAAATTTAATGCAAAATTGGCTTCATTGCTGGTACTTGTTAAATAATAACCCAGTAAAGTTTTCATTTGGTCGAATAACTCCCCTCTCGAAAATTATTTTTTCTAACAATAGATTTGCTCGAATTACTCACCTCGCTTAAAAAACCATCAAGCAACACAACATCTTTGTTAAACGAAGCACATAGAATATTTATATATTATAAAAGTTGACTTCATCTAAAATACATTACAAGATATAGAATCTTGGGCAAGTTTGCATGAATCTCAAGCGAGATTTATGAATTTTGGACGATATCTATGCAATTTCGAGTGAGATTCAAGTCCAATATTTGTGGTAATTTAATTTCAACAACCTCAAATTAAAAAGAAAATAAAGGAGTCCAGATTTATGCAATATAGATTGAAATCCGAGATTTACTTCTATTTTAATTTCAACAAATAGTAGACCCT